TGAGGAAAGCTGCACACACAGCTGTAGCTGGTCTACAGGTGCTAATCACCTGGGTCTAAGCTAACACGTTTACACAGATAACAGCTGATCAACAGGTGATGATCACCTGGGTCTAAGCTAACAATCCTAAGCAAAGTTACACAAATAAGAGGCACAACACACTACTTGCACTCTGCTAAGTATTCTACGGATTACAAGGGAGGTAACAGCATAAACACACAAGTAGAGTATCACGACGCTAGAGGCGTCTGTCTCCCAACACAGAGCCTCCAGAATGTTCTTCATTCCCAGCCTTTGTACTCCTCCCCCCGTAGTCGGGACGGCCAATGGCATCAGGGGAACTGCGCAGCTCATGCACACACACACACACACACACACACACACACACACACACACACACACACACACACACACACGAGAATAGTTATGGGACTTTATCCAAATAATGTGGAAATTCTCTTTTCCCTAGATCACAGTGCACGTGAAGGATAAAGTGGGAGGAGATAAAGTAACGTGCTGATTATGATTATAAGACTCTTACTTATTATATAATTATTGTTACTAATTCCAAGTTATTCCCAAATGAAACATTTATTTAAAGCAACTTTCTGTGGAAATGATGCGTACCAATCCCATGTGATCACAAATGATGTTATTCTGAAACTTCTTAATTTATTTGAAATCCAAGATGTAACATTTAATGCACCGTAATGTCTCTCTTTACTGGGTAAACGTAGCCTGAGAAATACAGAGAATTTGTTTCACTGGAATTAACTTGTCTCCCAAACACAAAAGAGAATGCACGCTGGTTGCCGCTTCATTGCATGGACTCATTATTTTGCAGCCTTCTGAAGAGGGATGCTCATGAAAAAGCAGTCCATCCCTAAAATAAATAAATTTAAACGGCAGCAAAACAAAATCATGACCGTAAAAATGCCAATACGCTGTCCGGCACAATGCATGTCTCTCCAGCCGACCATCCAGATGGTAATTAATGAAAAGCGGGCCAGCGATGCACTTAGTGTGTGGCCACAGTGACACTGCAGAGGATTCAATACACATAGATCAGTGAGAGGTGCTGATGGCCTGTGGTCCGACCGCCTGGACACAAAGCAGCGCTCGTGTCCCGCAGGCACTTCATCTTAGTTCATATCCCGACTCCTGTGGGCCAGACTGGGTTACGGCCCTCTGGGGAGCGCAGCGAGATTACTGTGATCGCTCTCACACACTGAATCCCCCCCTCTGGAATCACCACATAGACCTACATACACCTCCACATGCTGTATAGTATAGAAAACACACTCACTGGCACTTACCATTGAGAAGGATCCAAGTCAATGGTCATTCGTCTTCAGCGAGAAGAACAAGAAAACCGGCTACAAGAAGAACACAGCAGAGTTACTCCACATGTAGAACAGAAAAAGTACAATATACTGGAGAAGCTATTTCAACTGTTACCTTATGGTCTCCCATACAGACATTAGGACCCACTGTGTCGTAAACGAGGCTCTTGTCTCCGTCATCTCCCTAAAAACAGGAATGAACTTTTAGTGATAAAGAGAAATAACATGTGACATCAACACTGGAGCTTACATCTGTGACTTAGGGAGAATGAGTAGGATTCGTATGTTGTAGTGGATTAAAACAACTTTACTTCAGATGAAAGTCAACAGCAGAGGTTTTGTTCGTTTGTGGTTCCTCCTGACTATATTTGAGTCCTTTCAGCACTTGGTCAGACATTTCTGATAGCTTCCTCTTGGATGCAAGCTTCCGGTCAAGCAACCAGTATACATTATAATAGAGATTGACTCCATTAAATATTCCAAACTAAGCAAAATAAGAACATGCAGATAGAGTGCATGATCTCTGCAAATACATATAGCACCACACACTTTGAGTGGGTCATAAATGAAACATTTTATAGCCTCTGCGTCGTGAGTCTCCTGACGGTCATTTTCAACCAACTCATAAAGCTAATTTTAGCTTAATTAGCTTGCTAGCTAGCTATTTGCAGGTGATAGTCTGTTGGCGACACTAAATTCAGCCAAATGGTCACAATCGATGGTCACTAGCTAAAAATAAGAGACTTGTTTTTGTCTTTTATTGTCTAAAATACAGGAGTCATCAACATGAAAATGACGATGAGTGCCAAATCTGTCACTGTTATAATTACGTAGCCTGCGTAAAGCTTGACAAACATTGCATCACTAACTAAGAGGCGCAGGGTTTTCGAAGATACGAACATGTCAACGCTTATCTTTTACAATAAATGACATTATTCTTGTAATAAACTCACTAGCCATGTGAGAATATCGGCAGGCCCAGAAGCCACTGTATACGCGAGAACAAAAAACGATTAAAAAGCTTCAATCTTGAATCAAATTGTGTATAATATATAAGCCTTACTTATACCAAGAATATATCCAGTACATGGTGTGGGGTAGCCAGGAGAGCTACAATGCAGAAGGTTAAGAATATCAGCTTTATGATAGTGGCATGTACTGACCCTGTGGATGAATTCCTGGGCAGTGTGTGACAGGAGGATGCGATCACACCAGGCCGGGCAGCGAGTGTTCATGTACCGGGTCGGTTTAGTGTACTCTTCACTGTATGGGTAGCTGGGACACACACACACACACACACACACACACACACACACACACACACACACACACACACACACACACACACACACACACACACACACACACACACACACACACACACACACACACACACACACACACACACACACACACACACACAGTGAATTTAGGGGAATAACAACATATGTTAGAGTTCGTATACTGTACGTCTGCAGCATTTAGCTGGGTTACCTGGGTGGAAACTCGATGTCCTCTTCCCGAATAACATCATGAAAGACTGCGACTTCTTTGTCATACTTCAACAGCTGAGGGACAGAAGCCATTTCTGATTAGCTCTACAGGAACTCTACACCCATTAAAATCAAGTGTGACGTGAGTGAGTAAGACTTAAGTACGTGCGGAAAACCCAGTTTACTGTCAAAGTTATCACACTTCTGTTTAACCCACAGCTAGTGTATTTGCTTTAATGTCATTCTAAGGACTGTGTATCCGCTGATAGGGTCTAATCTAAAATGTGTGAAGACATGTCAGATTGTTGCTAAGCAACGTGAGTAGGTCAGAGTCACAGCATTGTTTGTCTGAGACTGTGGGGCAGCTGACCGGATCAGTGTGGGTCAACGTTGAGAGATTTCTCACCGCTCTGCCGTTGTCCTCCCTGAAAACCGCCTGGTGCAGGTAGGCAAACAGCTTGTCCTCAATGTGGAGCAGCACCTGTGGGTGGAATAAAACTAGGTATAGGAAAGGAAACACAGAAAATAATATTGTTTTCTTGATGAAACTGCATTAATCACCTGGTGGTCGTTGTCCTTTTCTTCGCAGATGATCTTCTCTACTTCGTTACTGCTGTCCTTCTTCACTGTTTGCACATCTGCTGAAGTGGACAGATGCTGCTCACAGAAACACAAAGGAAGAGTTTATGTCAAAAGGCCAAGGTGATGCACTTCCTCATTTCCTTCAGGAGAAATGCTGTCACATACCTGCACCAGAGTAAGTGCATCCAGACGGAAGTTAAAATCTCCAAACAGGAAGAAAGGCAGAGGAGTGTACCGGCTGTCTGATATCCTGGAAGGAAATAGAAGCCAGGAATCACAAAGAGGTTTGGGTAGTTTTCTATAAAAAACCTGACTGTGTGTGTGTGTGTGTGCAATCATTTCAGAACAGTGCATTCAAAGGTCAGAGTTCATGTACATCCCTGAAATATCTTGTTTACATGATGATTTTAGCCAAATCTGTGGGAAAACCCATTCCCTTCATAGAGGGAGTAACAGATAAATAATATACAGTGCAGAAGGAGGCAGAAAACCCACTGGGCTCATTTGAAACCTATACCGAAATCATTTTAAAATGCACAATGATATACGTGTAGAGAACACAGATTATTATACAAAAAATAAAATTCAATTTTGATGGCAGACTTTTAGAACAACACAAAATAAAAACAAATGTAACTAAATGAAAGATAAAAGGAAAGCTGATTGTGAGAAGTGTATTAGTGTGTGTGTTTCTATTTATAAAAGACAAAGCAGTTACAAAGCAGTAAATACAATGTCTTTTCTTTGTCACTTTATTCAGGAAGTATTTTGCCAGGTGGGAAAAGCCATTGCATAATTTGCGCCTGGGTATCCGACCTGTTGATGACATATCTGAGAGCGTTTTTGCGGTTGGCCGAGTAAATGGAGGGACTGGATTTGCAGGCAATGAGGTTGGAGGCATCGTGGAACAGGTGGACATTAACCAGGTCCAGACCTCTGTAAAACACACAGACAGAATAGGATGTTAGGCAGAAAGAGGAAACAGGAAACAATTTGATAACACCTGAGATCTGAAAGGTGTGTGTGCACGGGTGCCACTCATGCGTAGCTCTCTTATCAGTTGCTGCCCTCTTGTTAATGCTGAGTCAACAAACACGTTTTTCTTTTTGTTGAAACGTCCGCTCCTTTTTTTTTTTGGCTGTCACTGCAAAACAATTAATTTGCATCCAACAAAAGAGCTTTGTTGACTTACAGCCTGATCTTGTTGCACACTGATTGTGGCCTGCCTTTGTTTCCCCCCCCCAGGTGACAACTCAGCAGAGCAGATAGAGACTATTGTTCCCAGAGAACACGTGCAGCTGTAGCAGCAGCACGGGGCCATTCATCATGTTCATTTCAGAGCTATATTTAGCTTTTATTTACATAATGGTTTTCAGAACATACACTATACAAATATATGCCTTGCTTCTGTCATTATATAAAATTGTGTTCTGTAAAACGTAGCCTGTGTGGGTTAGTAGCAGGACACCATGCTGCACTGGCTCTGTTTCGATCAAGTGGACAATTACTTTGCCAAACTGAATAAATAATAACAAAATATTTCGTTAATAAATCCACCGGGGACAACACAGGCAGACACAGTTCAAACCCCACTGCAGTCAGCATGTCGTTGTGTCCCTGAGACACTTCCCCCCCAAAGTGCTCCTGTGGGGATTGTCCACAGTATTGAGTATGTAAATCGTTTTGGATAAAAGGGTCTAACAAGTGACATGTAGTGTAATGTAGTGATCGAGGTAATGGGAGACAGTATGAGTTTTAGCCCCTGCTGCAGCTCTGAGATCCTGTATGTGTTCAGATCTCAGTTCAAACTGTGGTTGTACAACCAAACAAACCTTTAAGAAGCTAAAAAGCTCTGGTATTATTGATTCAACTGAAAATGTTGCTCTGAAAAAATGTATTGTAGAAGCAGAGTTTGTACATCTCAAAGTAAGGTGTGAGTTCAGAGGAATCGTTTTGTCAATATCAAAAGTCAGGTAAAGGATTGGCAGTTCTGTTAGCACTCAGGTGGAACATAAAGTGAAACCGAATAGACTTTGTTTTTCCTTTCGTATTTGTGGTTACTGGGAGCTGACTCTTTATTTAACAAAGCAAAGCAAACCTGTAAAGCTTACATGACCGCCAGTTGGCCTCAGGGAAAGCATAACTGGATTTCACAACAGTCAAAAAACACCCAAAAGGGAAATTGATATAAATCCAGGGCAGAGTATGTTTATCTAATCGAGGTGAGATTGGTGCAGGGTACGTACTGGTTGTGTATGATCCAGCGGGTCCTCATGAAGCCCTTCCTCGACCACTTGAACTGCAACAGAGACAAATGAGAGTGAGTCACTAAACAGCAGCGAGCCGTGTCTGTGAAGGGCCAAACTGATAATCATTGATTCTTCCACATAATTTGTCTCATCTCCCTGTCAGAGCGGCAGCCCCAGTAGACTCATCTGTCGTGACATCTCCCTTTGGCCCTCACGTACCCCTCCCCACACACACACACACACACACACACAAATGTAGGCATGCACATTAATGCATACATACTCACATCAGGCCAGAAATTCTTTGGGAATTTTTCTTTCTCCACTGTGCTGACCCCGTCCAGAGAGCCCACGTGCTTGCTCTGTCCCGACACTGCTTTGAAATCCTTAACTGTTAGAGGGGTGACATGTAAAAGAGTGAGAAAACATGCAAACGCCAATCAATAAACTGGTGTTAACCTCATCAGAGCGGCATACGTGATGAGGGGATCTATAAGCGGGCCATTAGACTGTGTTTGGTGGACAACAATCGGATTGGGCCACACAGCGAGTGGCAGCTGCGGGATGTTTATGGTTCTTCCATAAGCTTTTCTGAGGAGCTTTTTCACGCCTAACGTGACTGGACTATGCAGCAGGAAAATAACAGCTCCACTTTAAATGCAGGTTCTTTGCAAATATCTGACCAGGAGGAGTTAGCGATCAAACTGTCGTTAAACACTTGAAATGTCCTGAAACTCCTGATATTAAAAAGATGACCATAATCATTTGAATCATATGCAATATTGCCCTTTATTTTTATTGCTGTTTATTCGAATTAAGAGCCAATTATGAGCCATTACCAAAACATAAGGGAGTGCTTTATGGTGGGAGCTTAAATCATCTTTCTTTCGAGGGGAGAGTAATAGGAATATATCACCAGCTGACGGATAATAGAAGGAGAAAAATCAATGCAAACATCAGACATAAAGTTTTTACCATTAAAATCATACTGTTGGATGTTTTTCAGTGTCTTGTGGATGAAGTACATGCTGCCCAAAGCCTGTGGAGAGAAACACATAAGGAACACAAGTGTAATGAGGTCTGTATGATATGTGAAATGGTTTTAGGTTCATCATAAACTTTAAAAACATGATCAAGTTGTGATAGGAATTTAAGAAATGTATACGGAAATAACATGTTTCATGTCAAACACCTATTGCACAGAACAAAGGAAAACCCCCAAAAGCTACATTTTGAAATATTAAATTCTGCAAACATGCCAATTTAAATACTGCACCGGATAAAACATTTTTTAAAAGTTTTTAAAATGGGACATTTGAGCTCTGTCTGGTCCATTAGCAGCGGCTTCACATCAGCGATCGACAGTAAAACCTCATCATCTAAATCATCATCTGAGCTCAACCTCTGATGATGAATTGAATTGTTCATTTCCCCATCATGTGAGCCTCGTATTGAACCATCCACTGCGACACAGTATATTGTTACTGTCCCAAAGACGCATGAAACTTTAAAGAATAGAGACGTTGAAAGTGAACTGCACAACACGTCCACAAACTGCCCCCCCACTCTCTCATACACACACACTTTAGCACCAAATCATCCTTGACGTGAGGCTGACCGTTTTTAATGTACTAACTGCCTGCTCCACTGATCTGATTAATCACGCCCTGAGAGATCAATAGAGACAGAAAATTAAAACAATTTAAAAGGTATTAAGCAGTAGGCCTGCTGTCTGCCAGCGCTGACTGGGGGCCGAAGAGAAATCAGCGGCTCCGAGGGCTCGGGGCGTGACGGACCGATGTGCAAACCCCCCCCTAAAAAACACCCAGCCAGAGCATGAGAGATCTCTCCCTGAAGAGATCATTTATCTTCGGTGCCAAAGTCCTCCTCATTTAATAAAATGGAAGTGTCTCCGTGATCGGCTCCAGTGAGCGGCAATTAGTGAGCAACTTGTCAAAACTAGGGCTGTTATTTGAACAATCTGATAAGGTTGTTAACTTAAACTGACTGGTATGAGATTATATATTATATCATTTACAAGGAAACAATCCCTTCTCTGTGAGGCATCAGGAGGATACATTTGAGAAACTTGGCAAAAGTGTACGTGATATGATTCCCTTCCTTAGCTTGAAAACGCCTCGGGAAACTCCCTGCTGGATTTTCCTTTTTGCTAATTTAGAAAACCCCGCTTGCCTTGTCTTGATTTTTTTATATGTTATGTTTGTGCTTTGATTGTGTTTAATTATATGCAGAAAATGAAAGAGGAATCACTGTATCCATCAAATTGATGATGACTGTGTGCACAATTTTTATTATACATTCTTTTTACTATAAAACTGTAATATAAATACTTTGGAACTCCAAATACAGATCTTTTTAAAAAGCAGAATATTCAATAAGAAAAAGTTGACACACACACACACACACACACACACACACACACACACACACACACACACACACACACACACCTTCATCAATCAGGTTTGTGCACAGTTTAATAAAAAAATATTGACTTACAAGTGATTTTTTATCAAAACACCATTTGTACTGAATGCATGCAGGTCGGCCCCCTCTGCTGCTGCAGCCCCTCTGAAAGGAGAACCCCCCAAACTCTCTCTCTCAGCCGTATAACTGATGATCCGCAGCCAGGGGGAAACAAATTGAAAATCAATGCAGGTGGCACCGCCGAAATGAGAATGAGGCATTAGGAGGGGTGGGGGGGCTGCAACCCTCTCAGGGCAAACAGTGGAGGGTGCAAACACTCAACGTGGGGAAACTTAGTCCCAGCTGTCTCCCACTCCCCCCTCACTCTTTATTTATCGTGCACAAATGGGCTGGGATCAATAGTTTTAATCTAGAGTTAAATGTATTGACTTTGGCCTGTCCCCCCCCCACACCTGGCCATTGACTTTCTCCTTTTTACTTCACACACCTTCAGTCTACAGATGCAGCCGCTGACCCCTACTGTCAGACGTCCAGTGTGGGGGTATCACATGGGAGGAGTAAGGGTTAATAGTTTAAGAAATACTCAGCCCCTTTTTCAACCAGGGCAGAATTTCAGGCAAACTAATGCTGACAAGGAGAAACTCTGAAAACAGTTTGGTTCCAGAGAGAAGCCTGAGAACTTGCTTGTGCTTTTTGAGGTCACAAAAAGAAGAAGTTTGAAGCAGGAAATGGCTTTCACAACGTCCCAGCATGCACTGCAGCGGACCAGGGTTCACTTAATCCGTGCAGGGAGGGGCAGTCACTTAACAAAACTGTCTTTAAGTGCATCTGTTATGTCTGTGCTCACAGTGTGTAACCACTTCACATTGTTTCAAGCCATATCTTTGAGATGTATTTGCCTCACAGTACAAAGGGCTCTGGTTTGCTCATATCCGAGATGTGCAGTGAGCCTTGATGAAGGAGAGACCCAGACGAGTAAACACAAACACACGTTAACAACAAGGACACATGATTAATGGATATAGATTCATTCATAACCAGGAACCAGAGCATAGGTCTTCACAGAAGGAAACACAACAGGCCTTCCTGTAGTCTAGAAACACCACAAACATTTTCTGGACTCCTTATTGAACATTTCTGCTGTGTGAATACAAATATGAAAAGGTCCCCAAGTTGATTTGGCAACATGGAAATTTTTAAAAAATGAATGCATGTCATCACTGACACGAAAAAAGGTTTGACATGATCTTTATCTTTGATGTGATGCAAAAACAAGGAGGAACCTGTTTACCCACAGACAAAAACAAGCATCATAAAAAAAGTAGGACAAATCTGACCCGATACCGTCGATGACATTTTACCTCGTTCTCTTATCTTCATCGCAAATAGAAAACCTTAGACAGACTTATTAGTTTGATCAATACATCCGAGCATAGTCTTCTCAATACAAACTTGTTGACATAATATCAGTTTTTATTTTCTGTTGTTATGAGCAGACTGAATAGCAATTTAATCTCACTAATTATACTAATACTAATAATTTCCACATCTACTAAAATCCAACTTCTTAGAAAGTAAGGCCATGCACACATTTTATTTGTGGCTAATGAGATGGTATTAGAAGGGATTGCTTTTAATCATTTTGGTCTTAAAGGCTTCCTTTAGGTCAAAGGTCCCCTCTGAAACAAAAACAAAGTGCACTGAGAGGAAAACACTCTGATACGATCTGTACCTGTGACCTCAACTCAGGTTCGATAGGTCCTTACAGCAACTCAAGGCCCTTCAAGATGTGGGCTATTGTTTCACTGATCTGTTTTGTGATGAGATGCAAACAAGGAGGAGCCTGTTTACACTCACACAAAAAAACAAAATGTAGGACGAGTCGGACCTGATCCTTCTGATAATGGAACATTTCCACTATGTAGCTTGTCTTCATCAGCAATGGGAAACAGGATCAAAGCATCCTGTCAAAGCCTTCTCACTTTATACAAAATATCCACTTATGAGTTGTGGTCCGATTTAACTCACTCAATATTAGGCCTGTCGATACATATTGGAATATGACACTAGATATTGTCTTAGATTTTGGATATCATAAGTGCTGTTTTTGGCGGCACCGGGTAGATTTTTGAATCCTCCTGGATCCATCTTTATTTTATTCGTTCAAATCATCATTTTTGTCACTTTGATTGTCTATGTTACACATGATATCTTTAAGACGTCTTTTTGTTCTGAGAGAGGGATCGCACCTCTGTTGCTCTCCATGAAGTTCCTTCTATTTTTCCCGTTAATGATGCGCTTTCTTTGGGAATTGTTTTCCTTGTACGTTACTTGGGTTAAAGTGTTGTATGCTGGTAACGTTGTAAAGCCCCCCCGAGACAATTATTAGTGATATTGGGCTTTTCAAAATAACAAACAAAAATATCCACTTTCGAGTTGTGTTCCGGTTTAAGATTGAGACTTAATCACAAGTCACTCAAATGTATCCTGTTTTGTTCAGCAAAATAATAGATCTAATTACTTTCTCTAATAGTATACAGAATATAATTAATCCATGTTCAAATTCAATCCATCTTGATCAATCTTAAAAGGTCACCTATTATGCAAAAGAGATTCTGAAAGTTTCAGGCAAAAAGATTCTCTCTCTTTCCATTTCTAAAACCTGTCTGAAAATGAGCTGATCAGATTGTGTCCACTTTATGATGTCATAGCGATTGTTTGGCTTGTGTAACCATTAGCCAATCACCAACCAAGGTAACCCCCCCCTCCCCTGATCACCTGAATCTCCTCCTAGAGCACCATTGTGTTCTTTTTAACCAAATATCTCTCAGAGGGGCGTGGGGAGGGGCTCCTTATTTTCATCTAAAGTAACAGACAGAGAATCAGCACTTTGGAAACAGGGCTGAAACAGAGGGGATTATGGGTAATGCTGCAATGATCTGTTTGGTGTTTGGAGCCAAACACTTCAGAGACATGTTTGTATATATCTGAGACCTCTAATATATTGATGAAAAACAGTATAATAGGGGACCTTTAAAGTTCACTTGTTCAATGTTGTATTATGGTAAAATAAATCTCCACCAAACGTGATGACCAGAAATCAGCTGCTGCTTGTCAGAGACAACATAACAGCTGCACAGCGCTAACCAGTAACATGGAGGAGGACTCCATCATGTGGCGGCCCGTATGAACTACTCTGAACAGATTGGGTTTTTCTTACCGTGAAACTGTCTTCTGTTTGGAACTGGTTGTCCACATAGATGCAGACCCTGTCATAGTCTTTCATTTCCTCGCTCGATTCAATGATCCTGGAACAGACCAAGAACAACAGAGGTATCGATTTGGGAAACCTTTTTTCAGTTTTTTAACAGACTAAAAGATAAACTGATAAATGTAGAAATGAATAGGTCAAAAATAATTGGTACTGGCAGCCGTAGAATTCAAACGACTTTCTTCCTTATGGTGGAAAAACATGACAGTTTTCCATCCCAGAGACAAATATTGTAATTTGAACCCCAATACATTTGTCCGACAGCATAAGTTACTTCTCAGAATGTTTCATACCCTCTTCATTTGATGATTATGAAGTACTTTTTTATGAACATGTATGCACAGAAAAAGTATGGGATAGAAACTCCCTCTGGGTTGAACTTTGGGATTTTAGGAACAACAGGAAAGGGACAATCCCAAAAAGCATAATAAGGCCTCTTTAAACACGGTTATGAGTTCAGGACTTCAATTATCTTTGACTGTGTTATATAAGTTTACTTCAGTCAAAGATGTGAATACTAATTCACATTAGTCCTACCAAAAGAAGTTTTCGGCGTGTCCCATGTTGGCCATGTAGTCCTTCCCTCCCACCTCCTGGAAGTGCAGGGCGATGAACTGCGGCTTGTGGCTGTGGATCGTCTGAAACAGAGACACGTGTTAGTCTGCAGCTTTTACATTACAGAGGCATGGAGAGGGAAGGGGTCAACACTGCGGATCACAGGATGAAGTGAACTGTCCTCTAGGGGTCATGTGGAAGTTCAAATCTGGATGTGCTATCAGTGCTAATAAACGTTTCCTGTTGAATAGGTAACTGTTGTGTGTGTGTGTTGTAAACGTAATGATTTCATATTCCACGAACATATCTTTATTTTCAATGTAAAAGACTGTCCATAAAATGTGAGAGACAAATACGAGTGATGGGTGGAAATACTAAATGTTTAAATGCAAGAGCCAGGCTTCCCAAACTTACCTTATACAATTCTCGTAACCATTCATTTTGAATTTCACCAAGCTATAAAACAAAGAGGAAAAACATCAAAAGCGTGAAATCTGTCTTTCAGAAAATGTTTAAAATGAAATATTAAACCTGCTTGTTTTTTTTTGGAAACATCAGTATACAGTAAATGCAATAATTGTGTTTGTCAATCTGAGCAACTCCTTTAACAATACGCACATTTATTTAACATTCTTTAATACATGAACATTTATAAGAGAAGCTTTAACTATTAGCGCTCACTTTGAGCACATACAATGAGGTAGTTCCATTCACACGGGACATAAAGAAACACTAATTGTTTCATTTTAATTGTATTGGCTTCTGGCTTTTAAAGGACATGGGAGCAGATAACAGACAATCAGTTAAAGTGGAATTCAGGAAGTGACATTAAAGGAAACAGACAGAAAATAAAGATTGTGTGGAAATATCATCCTGTGTTTCCAATGGATGTGTTTTCCAGGAAGTAGACAGGTGTAGCTGCATCTGTAGTAATCTGGCAACCGTTCAAACTGCCTCTGGCGGTGAGTTTTATGTTACATGGCAATACTGAGTATATTATTAAACATGAATAAGGACACATGTTACACAATGAGCTCTGTCAAACAGGGAAGGGGCTAACTTGTGAAAGTGAAAGCACAATATTTCCTCCTAGCTTCTGACCCCAGATAATCCTCTATCTTTTCCTGTTTTTGTGGACCATAAGCATTAAATTCAATTGAAAACAAATCCAGTAAAAGTTCAAATAAAAGCTCCAAGAGTTTGCCATAATCATATTTCCTTTCCCACACACCCACTTTTCCAGTATATTGTGTACTACTGCGACGCCAGGCGTATTCATACTGGCTTAGAAATGGCTTTGCATAGAAAACAGATTTGCATGGCAGAGTGGCCGGAGGACTGCAGCTCACGCCATTCTGGTTACTAGTACAGTCTGTATGTTCTAAACACAAACACAACTCTGACCATGAGTCATTCAGCTAGAACTGCAACATATGTTTTAGAGATGATGTCCATACAGCGTTTACGCTCAATATTAGGCCTGTCGATACATATTGGGATATAAGACTAGATATTGTCTTAGATTTTGGATATCATAAGTGCTGTTTTTGGCGGCACCGGGTAGATTTTTGATATCCTCCTGGATCCATCCATCCGTTCACATTATCATTTTTGTCAGTTTGATTGTCTATGTTGTAGTTCTATAGTCTTTTTTTTTTAAATATACACATGTTGTATGCTGGTAACGTTGTAAAGCCCCCTGAGACAATCATTTGTGATATTGTGCTTTAAAAATAACATTAGACTGATTTGATTCTTGGTTTTCAAGGCAGCACAAAAGTAATGTGATGTTATGTTCTGAATTAACCAGACTGTATTAGCTGTGCTATTGTTTACCATCTAGTCAATAAATCCATATGACTGACAATACTTTCATAAATTCTCCTTGTGTAAATATCCTGTGAAAGCATAAATGGTCACCCCTACAATATCAACACAATATCCATAGTGTGTTTTTAGGTCAAACATATTGTCACATTTGATATACTCCATATTGCCCAGACCTAACTGAAGATAAGATTATGTATACAGTAATAAAAGGAGGAGGTAAAAGTGAATAATTTAAAGAACTGAACATCGTAATCCAGCTAAAGATATATATATATATATATATAGTTTGTTTTACTCTCTGTAAAACTAGCACCACTGAGGCAGGCAGCGAGGCTGGGCTCTTTGAATGAGAGAGGTCTTAAGTGAAACCACAGCAACTCTACTCCAAATGAATGAATCCAGCGTAGTGATTTAGTTTATGCTTTGTTAACGAAACATGGCCGAAATGTGTCTTTGGCAATAGAAAATGTTCCAACAACTGATCTCCTGTTACATTATATAACTTGTCTGACACCATTGGTATGTATACAGCGAGATTTTGTTTAAATAACGTCTATTCACTGCAGTTGAGTCTACTCTATACAGTCATTAATCAGGCTCGCAAGGAACAATAGGTTAAATCTCCAGGATACTGCTTTGGTGGGCCATTGAAATGTTGCTGGTAGCACAGAGTAGCAGTAAACCATCTGAGATGTTTTCTAATGGTATGCTCCAGCCAGATCACTAATGGCCTCCACCAATTTTCTTTTTAATGTTCCTTATCTGTCCCATAAAAGTACCAAGGAGTGCTTTCTGTGTTTATGCCACTAAACCTTGAAATTCACTGTCTATGGATATTAGAAATACAAGCACTTTCTATACTTTTTCAGGAAAAAGTATTTCATCTGGCTTTCATTTGGGGTACTGATTACGCCACTGCGTTCTATGTACTGATTATTATTTAAATCTTTTCATAACTGTTTTCGTTAGATATGTTTTATCCATTTATTGCTTTTTGTATTTCTGATTGATTACATTTTATTGTTTTTCTTGATTTTGATTATTGTTATTCCCTTCTTCATCAAACCCTTTGGCTTGCGTGTTTGTATGAAAGGTGCTACATAAATAAATAAATAGTTGTCTGTCCCACTGGCTTAACTCTGACGGGACACACGGCTCCAGTAAAGCAGGGGGATTTATCCTGTGATGTGCTTAAGGTCTTGCTCTTATCCCGAAGGCTTGGTGAACGTTTAGGAGTGTTTATGGAAATATGGGGGCCTAAACCAGTAGAAAAAGCGCAAGTCCTCTGGGGGAGATATTCATCTGTTTACATATCTCCCACAATAGCATCTAACGTGTTTTCATTAGAGACAGATTTGGCAACCGGAAACATGGTCCTGAGCCAAATTTCCATGAGTGTATGAGCCCTCCTCCCTGCAGAGTCCAAAAGTGTTGTCTGGGCTGACAAAGGCCCAAACTGAATCCACCAAGAGTATAGATACACTCGGAAAAGTCGTCTAGATAGGTATAGATACAGTCAAGACTAGGCTATGAAATATAGTTTAAATAAGTATGCAAGATAATAATATAGAAAATATAGTGATAACACTGGAGCCGATGATGTAAAAGCCAAATAGTATGATAAGGAAACTATAAAGTAATTGTTGAGTAACACAGACTCTTCCTGAATGAACGTCATAAGCAGTGATTTTCAACAGCGATTAACTGCACATACAGTAATACAGTTGTAAAGGGCCATGATGAATATGGAGAAGGGTCAACAGAGGACTACATTTTCATATAAATATAGAAGGGGGGGTTTAATAAAAGCGTACTATTTTAGAATATCTGGATAACAACTGCTTTGGGGCACAAACCTAAAACACTGAATGGCATGATCATTTTAGGGATGATTGGGGGTAAAAAAGACCAACTTATGTGAACTCCGATTAGGCCCACATTTTAGGTCCACTGTATCAGCAAAATGACTGGTTGGATTCTGCGTGGGTTAAACTTTTATTTAACCCAAAAATGTCCTTGCCAAGATATGCAGCAGCCACAACGACAAAAAACATGTCTCAGAATTAAGAAATAAATAATGTAAAACATAATTGATTGAGGAATTAGATCAACATGCAAGGTTGTTTTTCATATTATGAAATGTGACCACTGGTTTTGAATTGTTGAACTTGTCATACAGGCGTCAAAATACATGACATTCAGTACAAGAGGCCTTTATAACCCTGAAATTAGGCAATGAGTGTAAACACGTTACATAGGCTTGGTTTCATTTTTTTCCAAGGTCATAGGTCAAACATTAGGTGAATATTGTCATCTGTTTTTCATGGCTTGCCCTGCAGAGTGATCACAGATTGCAATGCAACAGCAACAAGGAGCAGGTCACATGAGGGCTGAAAACATGAAGCGTGAAACTTTCACATCCCACGTTTAATAACCATAGACAACTGTTGTGGCTTTTATTTATGTGACCACAGGGGATATTGAGCACATGTTAGTAACAGCCAGAGAAGATAAACATGGCTGAGTACTTCACAGTGTAGTATAAAACAGGCTATGTATTGGATTAAGCAACAGGTCATTAAACGCGTCATGAAGACCTGTTACATCCTTATACCACCGAAGATGTAAAATGAGACTTAAATGTAAAACTTTACTCCTGTTTCCTCTATCAGCATCAAGTATAATCCTCTGACAGGACTTTAGCGTGTTTTAATTGTTATTATACTTACATTGTCAAAGAGTGAGCCGACATTTGCGGTGACAAGCAGCACATCAGCGTATGTTTCCATGTTACCGAGGCTGCTCCACAAACAGCGAAGAAACTCCGTGTGACGCAGGCCTCACAACACAACTCTGCAGAAGCTTATAAAGGCTTAATGTTTGAGCCCAGAAACCGAGACTACCGCCGCTCAAAGTACATCACTGAAAATACTGAGTCGTTTCTGGTCCAACTTGTTTTGTTATGGCGGTCTGTCGTTTCAAATCGTCATGTGCCGGAAAGGCGCTCATATCCATCGTCGTTGAAGAGCCTGCATGCGTTTATGTCCGCCTCCCCTCGGTTAATTGGACTAGTGGCTTCTTAGCGGATTTAAAGCAGCATGGAGGCGCATCTGCTGCCGCCTTCACAACCCTCAGATAACCGGGCAGAGCAGACAGGCAGCGCTGCTTATTCTCCGGTGCTCCGCCCCTTTATTTTACATATAGTCCATTATAGTCTTCCTATTAGTTTTATAACCCCTTAGATCTGCTTCAAAGTATAAATCCCTCTGAAGATTATCCCATGTTTATTGATTACCATGAAACGTGTGTGTTGGTCTTTATTCCAAATGATCTACTCAACGTAACCAATTGTATCAACATAAACCCCTATTGATATATTCTACAACAACTGATACGATTGTGTAAAATCCAAAATCCCACAATGAGATGCTATAGAAACTTGTGTTCTACTACAATAATGACTTGGTGGATGTAGTAAAATACCCAATTTCAGCCTACAATCAGAGGTGGAGGTATTTAGGTGGTTTACTTAAGTAAAAGTATTAATACCAAAGTGTAGTGCTATACTTTTACAAGTGAAAGTCCTGCATTCAAGGTTCTATTTATAAAAGTATGGTCTCAAAATGTAGTTAGTTAGTATTCACATGCTGCCAACAGACAATATCAGAGAATGGTTTTATATGACTTTTTTTGCCATAAAAACGTGTATGTTGGCCTGTATTTCAAATGATCTACTTAATATCACAGCATACATTTATATTGAATTATATTCTACTACAATTGTAACCTGTAACCTGTATATCACAGCTGGTAAAAGAGGGGTTAATGTTGTACCATACAGACTGTTGGGTAGCTAGTGAATTTCACCAAGGGTTAATTTCATAATTTATATATATTTGTATTATCATTCTGAATGGTCAGTAAAGATGCCAAATAAATGAAGTGGATCAGACACTTTACTTCTGAAAAGTAGTGAAGTACAAGTGAAGTAGCTGAAAATGTAAATAGGCTACTCAAATTTGTACTTGAGCTTACTCTCCACCAAAGCCTATGATGTACAACTCAACACAGACATGAAAACGAAATTACTCAACTCACCACTCAACATACCACAGGCTCATTCTGTGAAGTCTCAACAGGAAGTTCGTATTTTTTCCTGTTAAACTTATTCTTTCAATGAAAGTCCTCACACTGAGTCAAGTTTGCATTTAATTCCTATCCACCAAGCTGTTTTAAATTATCAAACCTCATAATTATAAAATAATAGTCATCTTTATTTGTGACTTTGCCTTAGGAGGGAAAATCATGTCATCTTCAAAAACATTGCAACAGCTGCACGGCCCATTCGATGCTCTTCTTGCGTAAACTAGCATATCAGTGTGACTTGTTTTATTTTTAAGTGCAAGACCTGCAGGTTAGTCATTTATCTAGAACTGCCAGCCTCCTACAGCTTCCAGTCATCACCACAAAGTAACCACAATATTTTACAACACAGCTACAGACTACTTCTCTACCCAGTGCAGCGTAGATCTGTAATCGTCTTATTTTGGAGTCGATGGATCAGTGCCACCCAGCAGTCTGGGGGTAAAGCAAAGACTGCTAGGGGCCAAATTCTGGCTCTATAGTGCAGTAATGGAGCTGATCAACCATGGCATGGTGGTCACAGCCAAGCTTTTGAGTTTCCTGCTTCCTCTCACTCCTCCCTTGAGCACTGTGCGCTTTATTCCCCAACGTCAACACATCCATTTGAAACTATTGCAACAGGGATGCAAAAGAATGCTGCCACGTCCATCACCGGTTTGGAAACAAAGCGATTTAAAGGGGGGAACCTCTCTGAAAGGACTGAGGTGGTTTATTGCAGCCAGGAGAGGCCTGGGTTTTAGAAGAAGCAGCTGCAAAAGAATCAACAGCATACATCCAGGGAAAGGGATACTATTTAGACTGGACCCTGAGTACAATGTACGCTATATGGGAATAAGTACTAATTATAAAAGCCCAGTCTGCATGCCAGGCTGTGTTATAGCAGCTTGGTGACTACTGGACAAAAAGTAAGACAGGAAATGTTATCAGTCGTGGCTTGCATAGACTAGCACAGACGAGCCGCTGCAGACAATTTGGTTTTGGAGCAAAAACATCAAATTCTAAAAATAGCAAATAAATGCTTTGATTTTGCAAAGACTTGCTGGTGAAAGAAAAATAACCTAGGCCCTGAGTTATAAAGTATACAATGGAAACTTCTAATGTCATATAATTATAATTGTGTGCAATTAGCTATTCATTGAACTTAACTTGCAAATATTTAGTGTTTAGCTCAGCCTGCAGCATTGTTACTGTCCAATTTAAATTTGTAATGCTTAGGTGTTTTTTTTTTGTTTGTTTTTATAAATGTAGAAACCAGACATGTATTTCCTTAAAACCATCTCTATTGTACACATATCTGCTGCCACGTCATGAGACTTCTGGTTTCCTTTGCTTCTGTATGTTTAGAGCCCTTTGTGCATCGGAGGAAACCAAGCACAACCAACAGTGTGAAAAGCACAAAAACCCCTGAAGTCAAAAGGTAGAGACACATTCTTGCACATTTATTTGATGAACAGATTTAACACTAGAGAACTGTTCCTGATCACAGTAAACAAAAGGGATCGGGGCCTCAGGGAGAAACCCCCCAGGTCCCCGAGTCCCTCACATGGAGCAGCAGGGAGTCCAAACTACAGCTGCACTCTCCACAGAGAGGCTGCCAAACAGGAGAAAGACCACTGATGTGGGAGAAAATAAACACAATAACTTTTAGTGTTCACTTAAAATAAATTAGGCAAGATGGCCACTGCACAAGCAGGAAGCTACGGTAGAACATGATGCCTGTTAGGAAGTGTATTAGTGTGGTTTTAGTCAAGAGAGAAATTGTGAATTATCCTACATACTTGTGTGCAATGGTCCTTAAAAGGGACACTGAATTTACTATAAAACCTTTTTCTCCAGTTAGGTATGCTGCATTTTGCCCGAGAACATTTGGAAAAATCTCCCTTAATCCATGAACCTTCATCAGAGTAACTGTAGATAAACAATTTCCATTTCATAATGTGATCATTTACACATTCCATGGAAGAAACACAGAAACGGATAACATACCAAGAGCTTATCTGCAATGTAACTCATATAGTGACCACATGTGTTGATACAAGTCTTAATGTAAAACACAGAGCTTAAAACCCAAGTTATTCTCTCTTGGAAAAAGCCCATACAAATATTTGAAATGTAACAAAAGCTGGCATTATGCCCTAAATCACGGGCATAGCCAGTCATGCGAAACCCAAAGTCAGTCACAGGTTTTAGCGTCAGTACAGACTAGACAGTAACTCTCTTCTATGTCCCAGGTGTGATGAGCTCTGTAACGTTAACACAGTGTGGGACGAACATGACGGTCAAATCTAAATGTTGAAACTACAAAACAAAGGACAGGAACTCAGTTAAAGATAAAAAAGACAAGTTTTCCCTCAAAAGACTGTCAACGTGGAAGACAACGCTTCTTTTGTGTTCGCACCGTAATTTCATTCTAATGCAAGCGAGGCTTCAGTCAAGCTATTCCAACGAAGGGCAGCGGACTCAGAGTGACCCGTGAGAGCGACGCAGACTGAACACGCCCGTCTGAGGCAGTGACCGAGGAAGCCAAATGGAGTACTGTTGACATCAGAGAGGGAATTTTCCAGTCCAAGAGCTCCAGTAGCGAAGAGCCTTGCTGACTGCAGAGTTAGTCAGAGGAGCCGAAGTGAGCCAGTCCTCCTCCAGAGGTCCTTCAGGAGCGGCTGCGGTCCTCCTGGGTCCCCACCAGCATCTTACTGTACAGCTTCTGCTGCTCCTCCTTAAAGGTTTCTTTTACCTTGCCTCGTTTCAAGCCTCCATCCCTGCAAGAGAGTTTCAAATGAGTCACCATGTTTAAGATAAGATAAGATAGGACTTTATATATCCCGAAGGAAATTGTTGTGCCAGAGTTACAAGAATACAATAAACACAGGAGCATAATAATAATAAAACTGTATACTAAAGGTCAATTTAATATCTACAACAGGGGTGTCAAACTCAAAAACACAGTGGGCCAAAATAAAAAAATGGGTACTAGTCGAGGGCCGGACTGGTTCAATGTTTATTGCAAAACGTATTGAAATGAACTTATTCCACATATTAAACCTGGAACTAACAAAGCTTAAATTATTGCCTATAAAAACAACATGAAACATTAAATAATCAGTTGCATTCATTTCTTCTGGCTCCATCTGCAGCTTTTCCGGAGTCATTTCTTATGATTACATTTTTCCACAGGCCAACAACAGCTTCAAAAAAACTATTTCCCTCAAAGAAAAAACCAAACATGCCCTGTTGTCGAGAGAGAAAAAGTGCAGAAGGAAACATCCATTAAACTCAGTGTGCTGCTCTGTGATGCTAGTTCAAGCAGATACTTGGCATCTCATCTTGGGAGCAAGTTCATCAATGTTTGGGGTCAGGCTCTGAGCTGAGGAAATCCTCAGGATAGAGTGAACGTGTGCGTGCAAAATACCGGAGGACCAGATCTAATAGTAATTAGAAATTATCCTGCGGGCCGAAATTAAATCCACCAAGGGCCTGATTTGGCCCCCGGGCCTTGAGTTTGACACATGTGACTTACTAAGCCTATATGCTGGTGATGAAGCTAATGTGTTGGTGTTCATGAATGTTACATGTCAAAGGGTTTAAAGATGAAAATTAATCATATAAGAAAGTAAAGAAGTTATAAGTTAATAATAAGAAAGAAGATATTATTTATAAGTTCAAGTTAAAAAAGAAGGACATTTTATGAAAGGTATTAAACATAAAGGACAATTTACTTAAGCTTTAAAGGGTTATTCCACTGATGACAAAGACATTTTCTTTGGCAAAATATTTGTGATTTAATGCCTTTCTAAGCATATTTCACTGCATTTAAGGTTTATT